GGTGTGAAAGATGCGCTGCCGGCGTGCGGGGGGGGGGGGGGGGGGGGGGGGGAATGATGCAACTCCCCAAGACAGTGCCTCTAGCCTAGTAAGTAAATGCTAGACCTGAGTACCATCACAGGGGATGAGGTCACATGCTCCCTCATACCCAGAAGTGATGGGTATTGTTGCTAGCTGCAACAGAGTCAGGACCAATGGGGGGGCACTGATCATAATTGGGTCATGGGGCCCCTTTGCAAAGACAATGTCATGTTATCCTGCATGGTTACCGAAACAGGGGAATTCAATAAATCCTTATCAAGACTTTTCTGACAGTACGGGCCTTTAACTAAACATTAATCTGACAGCCTCACATTCATTGGTTGCTAGGACACCTGGCCGCCAGAGTCCTAGCAATCAATTCTGCCATCCCGGAGCCATTCAATTCTGCCATCCCGGAGCCATTCAGATTCCCCAGCCAGCAGCTGAATGGGCAGCTGGCGCACATCATTACCTAAATACGGCCATATCTGGGTAATGATGATAGCACCCCCCCTTTTTTCATTTAAGTGTCAGCAGAGCGGAACTGATGGGGAACCCAGTTCTCAGAATTCCCCAGCAGGCTCCGCCCACTGTTAGCTTCAGTGGTTGTTAAGGATGCTGTCGGCTTTTAGTGCCGTCCACTTTCAGTGACATTGAGTGGGTGGAGCCTGATGGGGAGTTCCCTATCATGTCTACTGCAGAATGAAAGCAGGCAGGTGCATAGCCAGGTTGCTACTGGTTATGGCACCTCCCCACTGCCAATCAGCAGCAGAGCGGACCCGATGGGGAACTTATGTCTTCCACTGATACCAATGATGGGGCATTATTCCTTCTACTATGAATAGTATCACCCCCCAGTGGTGATTATATACCTCCAAAAGAAAGCTCTATCTGTCCCCCAAAAATTTTAACATAAATTGCAAGGCTATAGTTTGGTCATGCTGACTGTGTATACATATGGATTCCATGTAGATGGGGTCTCTTGTAGAACTGAGCCCACAACCTCCATGCTGCAAACCATTCAGCACCATGTTGCTATATTAGCTCTACATGCTGATATAAAATCATTTTACATTCATTAGTTAACAAACATATTTTGCTTTTCCTTCCAATTATTGTTTTTCCAACTCCCTGGTCCACTTTGGCACAAATGATGTAATTGTGCCCAAGCGTTGCATCACGGGAAGGTTACATCAGCAGAGCATTGCTGGGAACTCTCTGTAATCTCACAGGATCTCAGGGAAAGGCATTTTCCTCCCTTGGGATGATGTGCATGGTCACATGTCCCGGTCACGCCTTAGTCACATGTCTAATAGCATGTGCCAGAGTTCCAGGAAGTGAAGTGAGATATATTAATCTTCCCTTAGTAAAAATGGCCACTGTGACGAGACTGGTGAGGTAAAGAGAAATAAGGTATGTAAAGAATACAAAGTCGGCAATTATCTAGACGCATATGTTTGTAGGTTGTCATTACTAAACATTTCTAAAGGTGTGTTTGTCGGCATTTCAAAGATATGGGTAAAGTTCCTCTTTAACAAACTGAAAGGAGAAGCTGATTGGTTACTACAGGCAACTGCTGCAGACTTATAAATTCCCCCCAATTTCCACCATAACCTGTGCCCGCTGGCATCTCCGGGCTCTTACTGGTGTCAGTGGCTTCATTTAGTAAGATTTCCCGACTTCCAACTCTCTAACCATACTTTTAACAGATAGTGAGCAGACATCCCAACTCTCCCGGACGTTCCGGGGGTTTCCCGTTAAACAATAGGGGTTCCCTGACGCAAGCGAGAGAAAAATGTTATCTGGAAAGGAGTAAATCTTTCCTGGATCCTCTGCTGATTCCCCTGCTATCTTTTTTTTATTATTCTGAGAGCGGTCGACGTCAGCATAAAAAAAAAAAAAAGCAAGCAGGGGAATGAATAGCTAGGCTGCTATTGGACATTTCAAATTGCAATAGCCAGTAGCAGGCTGGCTATTGCACCCACCCACTGCTGTTGTCAATCAGTAGAGATGGACCCAAAGATTGCCTTCAGGTCCTCCTCTGCTGATTGACAGCAAGCTAAATTAGTTTTTGCAAGTTGGGATGTCTGAGGAAGCGAGGGAAATTTTGCAAACAGACAACAAAAAGCTGACAGATGCTCTAGTATTCCTTTTACTTCAGTCTATGTTGCTGTTGCAGATTTCCCCTCACTTCCTGTCCCAGAGACAACCACCTTACCAGACAGGAAATTCTCCAATAAAGCCTGCAATGGCAATATAACCTGGCAGGAGTTCTCATTGTGCCCCAATCTATCCAAACCTAAAAATAAGGTTTGGGATATACATACGCTGTAAAAAAAATATCTTCTTCCAGTCACGTTCTGCGCCCTCTCAACATATCCATCAGCTTTGCCAAGTTCGCACCACAGCGCCGCTCCGCCATTGGCTAACCTAGAACATGTGACAGGCAGCCGCGTTCTCTAACTGAGACAAGCTGTCCCGCTGTCCCGGAAGAAATTGTAGAATCATTTGCATACTACCGCCCCGCCCTCTCAGGCGCGAGGATCTCTGACACCCAGCCTGCGACGTCACGTCCGCCCCCTGAACTTCCTTAGGAAACCCCGTGGCCGTGCTCTGGTCTCTTTTTCACCCGGCAGGCCAAGATGGCGGATATTCAGGTGAGGGCTCTGGACGCTCGCTAGATAGAATCACTATTGGAGAGGGGCGGCGAGGCCGGGAGCTGAAGAGGCATTCTGCTGGGTGCTGAGGAGAGGTCCGGTCTCTTTGCGGGGCCAGCATGAGCGCTGTGCGCGGAGAAAGAGGGCGGAATCTGGAGCCGCGTGGAGGCCTGAGATGAGGCCTGAAGTGTGTGCTGCTCTCTCTCCGACTAGGGCCCTGCCTTTACCGTGACACTGCTCACATGGGCAGCTATCCTGTCTATAAAAGCCCTGATCACGCCACCTCTGCCATGTCTCTGTGCGAGAGCCCTGGTCACCCCCCTCTGCCATGTCTCTGTGCGAGAGCCCTGGTCACCCCCCTCTGCCATGTCTCTGTGCGAGAGCCCTGGTCACCCCCCTCTGCCATGTCTCTGTAAGTGAGAGCCCTGATCACCCCCCTCTGCCATGTCTCTGTAAGTGAGAGCCCTGATCACCCCCCTCTGCCATGTCTCTGTAAGTGAGAGCCCTGATCACCCCCCTCTGCCATGTCTCTGTAAGTGAGAGCCCTGATCACCCCCCTCTGCCATGTCTCTGTAAGTGAGAGCCCTGATCACCCCCCTCTGCCATGTCTCTGTAAGTGAGAGCCCTGATCACCCCCCTCTGCCATGTCTCTGTAAGTGAGAGCCCTGATCACCCCCCTCTGCCATGTCTCTGTAAGTGAGAGCCCTGATCACCCCCCTCTGCCATGTCTCTGTAAGTGAGAGCCCTGATCACCCCCCTCTGCCATGTCTCTGTAAGTGAGAGCCCTGATCACCCCCCTCTGCCATGTCTCTGTAAGTGAGAGCCCTGATCACCCCCCTCTGCCATGTCTCTGTAAGTGAGAGCCCTGATCACCCCCCTCTGCCATGTCTCTGTAAGTGAGAGCCCTGATCACCCCCCTCTGCCATGTCTCTGTAAGTGAGAGCCCTGATCACCCCCCTCTGCCATGTCTCTGTAAGTGAGAGCCCTGATCACCCCCCTCTGCCATGTCTCTGTAAGTGAGAGCCCTGATCACCCCCCTCTGCCATGTCTCTGTAAGTGAGAGCCCTGATCACCCCCCTCTGCCATGTCTCTGTAAGTGAGAGCCCTGATCACCCCCCTCTGCCATGTCTCTGTAAGTGAGAGCCCTGATCACCCCCCTCTGCCATGTCTCTGTAAGTGAGAGCCCTGATCACCCCCCTCTGCCATGTCTCTGTAAGTGAGAGCCCTGATCACCCCCCTCTGCCATGTCTCTGTAAGTGAGAGCCCTGATCACCCCCCTCTGCCATGTCTCTGTAAGTGAGAGCCCTGATCACCCCCCTCTGCCATGTCTCTGTAAGTGAGAGCCCTGATCACCCCCCTCTGCCATGTCTCTGTAAGTGAGAGCCCTGATCACCCCCCTCTGCCATGTCTCTGTAAGTGAGAGCCCTGATCACCCCCCTCTGCCATGTCTCTGTAAGTGAGAGCCCTGATCACCCCCCTCTGCCATGTCTCTGTAAGTGAGAGCCCTGGTCACCCCCCTCTGCCATGTCTCTGTGCGAGAGAGTCCTGGTCACCCCCACCCGCCATGTCTCTGTGCGAGAGCCCTGGTCACCCCCCACAGGCCATATGTGTTTACTCTTGTCCTCTGCCTCTATAGGAGCACTGATCCCTCTGCTATGCCCTTACTTAAGTCCACTGCTGATCCCCTTTTTCTGTACAGGAGTATGTTATCTCTGACATGTGCACTGTTCTCTGCTTGTATTGGATTACTAATACTCGCTGGCATGTTTGTGCTCTTTTCCCCTTTATCATGCCTTTTTTATCTATGCGGACCTGCCTGATTTGCCAGACTAAAGCTGGCCGTACACCGCTTTCATGAACACTCAGATTGAACGAAAAATATAGTAGTGTCCTCCAACACTACGAGCATGTTGATGGAGGTATACCCGCTGTTTCTTTTCACAGGAGACACAAACTTTCACCCAGGACTGACACATTTTGTAATTGAATCAATTTTGGATGAAAAGTTGCGTGTGAACATTTGATTCATAGAATTTCTTTAAGGGCCTCGAGTCATATAATAATTTCACTGGTACGGCTCTCAGTAGTGCATTTTTATTTTGTGCCTAAAAAGAAAATCTCGATTGTAGTTTCCCCGTTCTCCCCCAAATGGGGAAGAATAGCAAACTATGTAAAGTGCCTTTTACATTGGATTTTTAGAAACACACATAAATTGCGCGCACACAAAGCGTTCTTCTAGAAGATGCATGAATGTGCTCAAAATGCGTGAAGTTCTAAGCTCAGAAATGGAATTGGGCTCTTCCTGTCACCTTGTAATCATGCTGACCATTTCTATCGCCATATTGATATGTTGCCATGTGTATGCAGTGGAACATTTTGTTTCAGTTTCACGGTAAAGCTTTTACAAAATCTTGATTTGATTAGCTGCTGTAAGTTACAGATAATATTGCATGCTGACACCTTTTCTTTGCTTCTGCAGACAGAGAGGGCTTATCAGAAGCAGCCAACTATCTTCCAGAACAAGAAGCGTGTGCTTCTTGGGGAGAGCAGCAAAGAGAAGCTCCCTCGATACTACAGAAGCGTTGGTTTGGGATTCAAGACCCCCAGAGAGGTAATGCTGTTCTTTAACATGTAGCCGCTGTCGGTTTCTTTTTCTAGTTGCTGTCCGTTTAGCTTTTGCTATATCATCGGGTCCACCAGGGCATTTCTGCACACCATATTGAAGTAAAGAACACGTCTGTTTATTGATGCTTCATGCCAAAACAACTTTTCGGGGGCCACACAGTGTCCCCTTCATCAGGCTTGAAATGACAATACAGCTAAAGAAAAACCTATCTTGTATAGCTAAACCAACAGTGCAAATGAAACAGAAAACCTTTGAAAGAAAACCTTTGAAAGGAGAACTATGTTTGTTGTAGCCGACGTGTGACAATCTGTCACGGGTTGGCTCAATAGATTGGGAAGTGAGCGAACGCATACCGTTGATTGCTCACTTCCCGATCATCTCCCTGCAGAGAGCGCTGACTGTCACAGCTCCCTGCAGGAATTACCTGCTCCGATCCGCCAGCGCTGACTGGAGGAACAGACGAGGAGGGGGCGGGCACAGCTGGTTCTGCCTCTAGATAGGCAGAGCCAGCTGGGTGGATCTTGACAGTATTGTCGGGATCCGTCCCGGCTGCGGTGCTCTCGGTGCCCGTGATATACTGAGCTCTGGGTTACGGGAGGACGCTAGTATATATCCTCCTGTGACCCTTAAGAGAACTATTGGGAAAAACACTTACCCCATAGTTCTTTTAAATGTAAACACACTTTGTATTTGAAAGTGGCCTGGTGTAAGACAGGAAGTGAAAATCCCTCTGTTGGGGACATAGTGGCAAAAAAAAGTAATGCGTGTGTAACCCTACTGTGATCATATTGACAGTATGGAGAGAATGGTGAAGTGGTATTGAACTTGGTGCCACTCGCGTGACGTACCCCAAAAGTCCCAAGTCTGTAACAAGCGATTATTTTATGGATCTCATCATGCTTAAGACAGCTTAAAGGCCAAGTTATATTTTAAAGAAATAGTATGTGGTCAAGGGGCCCCAGGAGGTAACAAACTGCAACTGCAGGTTTTAAAAATGAGGAATAATATAAATGTAATACTTGTAGTCCAATTTGGACCCCCCCCCCCCAGGAGCCTTTGCTAGAAAAGCTCTCATCGCTATCTGTGCCCTGTCCTGTTCCTAGAATGCTCCTGTTGCAGCATCACTGAAGTGAGTATGCTTGCTTGTTCAAATCTCCATGCATGTGCAGTGCATTGTCTCCCATTGCAGCATTGCTGTGCCTAGACGTGAATTTTACTTGTGTTTTTAAATGGATATTACCATTTATTTCTAAAATGTGGAATATAACATGGGTGCAAAAATTGAAAAAAGGGCCTCAGTCATGAAGGGGTTAAAGTAACATTTCTGCTTGACTAAAGGCACTAACTGCACACAGATCAAATGCCACGTTTGTGTCCTGGTGGTAGTTCTTGGTTCCAGTATTTTGTTCAGACAAGCAGGTTGTGTTGAATAGGCAAACTTTTTAGATTCACTTTAATGTGACCAGTTCATGAGCCCGTAGAACAGTGCAGAACCCCTGCTATACAAAAGTAACAATGATGGTTAATTTATCAATATTTGAGGCAATTTGCAGTACTAATTGAACCTCCTTATATGTCAGTTTTTTTTCTAAACGTGGTAGAATAAGAATGAAGAGGTTCCTCCAGCTTTTCAGGCATTCTATCCATTGTTGGTAAATGTATAACAATGAACTGTCTGGGATTCCTTGACAGCATGATCTGTTTCTTTTAGGCAACTGAGGGCACATACATTGACAAGAAATGTCCGTTCACCGGTAACGTGTCCATCCGTGGTCGCATTCTTTCAGGTAAGATACAAAATCAAAGCTACTAGTGAAATGATGGTTGCCTTCTAAATATATAAGTACATTAAAGTGCATAGTAATTCATACTATAAATGGGGCCAAATCTGTCCCTGTTCACATCTTCATTCCATGAACATGCACAAAATGGAACGTGTCAAACGTACAGCATGTTGTGGTACCATTACTTATTGACACCACAAACACGGCCGGTGAAAACATGCAGTTTTCCTGCAAACTGACGCTTGTTAAGCACACATAAACGTTGTGAAAAAAATGCAGCCCTCCTGTAGCATAATCTACTCCTCCGTTTGCCACGCATGCAGCAACCATTGAAATCAATGGGCAACACAAGGAAGGACACATGAATGGGACGTGTGTTCAAGCAACGCAAAGACGTGAATGGGCACTCACTTTGCATGTAGTGGTTCTCTCATCACTTGTATTCTTCACATACCATCCTCCAGTCTAGAATAGGATAACCAAATTAGGTGTTTGTGGCACATGCAAGCTGAGTAAAATGTTCTTTATTTCTACTTTGAAAACTATTATAATTTTAAATGGTAGTTTTCACTTGCAAAGATGACTGATGGCAATCTTTCGAGAACTGGCTGTTGTCTTTTCACCTAAACCCCCCCACCCCTTAGCAGACACCAGTTAAAACCTGACAGGTACTCGTCTCTCCACTCCAGAAGTAGGAAAGAAAAACTCTAGACATGTATTTTAGTTTTTTACATTGCTCCTCATTTACACATTTCTATATTGTAGTTCCTTAAAGCCGAATTCCTAGATTGCAGCTAGCCGCTATCGTCTAAATACTAGATGCATGTGCATTCTTTATTCTGGTGTCCTTTGTGTATTCCAGATCTGTGCAATAATCCGGTGTGAAACCTTGCCTCTGTGCAGGCGCTTCGTGTAATTAAGATCGGTCACTGGTGCTCTTTGTGCAGGGTGACTGGTCTTGTATCTGCCCCCTTCTGTAGTTCTACAGGCAACCTGCAGTAGGTTGAGTCTGCTGGGTCCCTTCCTCAGCTCTGCTCTATGCACAGGCTGATGGTTCTGCTACTTTTACAAGGAAATTACTGTTTTGCATAGGTATATCGTGCACACAGTCTATTTTCTATCCATTGTACCTATTGAGAAATATATGAAGATTTGTGCCTGTTGCTAAGCTGCAATACTGGAAATATAAATCCTGTAATATAGAAATCTATGCTGACTTCTGCAATTGCTTTTTTTGTTGTGTTTTTTTTTAATTAAAAATAAAGATGCCATGAATTGTTTCCCTTCCAGCCTGAACATTGAATGTGCAGCATACGTGAGGACAGTTATAACAATCCATCTTGTCTTTCAGGTGTGGTCACAAAGATGAAGATGCAGCGCACCATTGTTATCCGCCGGGACTACTTGCACTACATCCGCAAGTACAACCGTTTCGAAAAACGCCATAAGAACATGTCTGTGCATCTGTCCCCTTGCTTCAGGTGAGAACGACAGTTTTTCTACTGCTGTGAGCAATTGGTGGTCAGTTGCTTCCCATCAGGGTCTAACTTGTGACTTGACTAAACCTGCCACAATTTGGTTTAACCCCTTCGTGACTGACGGCGTACAGTGTACGTCGCCAGCATCGGGGCTGTTTAAACAGACTCCCGGTGACTTTTGCCGCCGGGACTCTGTTTAAACTTGTAGAGCCGACTGTCGGCTTTACAACAAAAGCGATCCTGGCGACTCACCTGTCGCCAGATCTCTTCTGCGTCCCGAAGAAGGGGCCGCACCCCCGGCCGGACACCCCCGCCGTGCTTCCCG